TCTTCCTGTCACTAACAGATTAATACGCATCAACGTCAAATAATACTACTCTCAATGTGTTGAAATAATACCACTCTCATCACATAGATAGCAGCACTAGTAGCCCATATAAACATGGCTGACGGTCAAACCCCCTCCCGCACCATGGCTTCACTCCCCGCGCCTATAATATCCCTTAATGCTCCCTCCTTTATCTCCATGGCCATTTACCCAGCAAACATCACGTGTCAGCACGCCGTGAAAAGCATGCCATATGAACAATATGTTGGTACATAGCATTGAGACCTTGTTTATGCAAGCAATAACCGTTAACTTATTATTATACACATTCGGCAATTTTGTAAACAAAAACATTGAAATCGTATAGTTTATTGGTTTTAATATAAGATAACGGTTATTGCCCGCACAAACAAGGCTATACTGTGTTGTGAAAAAGGTGCATTTTGCAATTTGTGCTCGGCAAATTGGATATATAATTATATTGGATATGTAAAGTAAGTATACACACACACACATTTATAATTTTATATATTTGGCTTATATACACATTTTAACATATATATGTACATGTATGAATATGTGCAAAATTTCTATTTTCAATAAGTTAGTGATACTTCTATAACCTCATTAATATAACCTCTTCTAACCACTCTTCATATAATCTCTTCAAAATCTTTTAGTTGGTGTGCATCAGTTTTACAGTTGAAGAAAAGACAAGGCTACACTATATTGTACGAAGGAAGGTCTACGTGCATTTCTGCAATTCTGTGCCCAGCAAAGTGGATAAATAGTCTATTGGATATATAAGGTAAGTACACACACACACATTTATAATTTTATATATTTGGCTTATATACACATTTTAACATAAATATGTACATGTATGAATATGTGCAAATTTCTATTTTCAATAAGTTAGTGATACTTCTATAACCTCATTATTATAACCTTTTCTAACCACTTTTCATATAATCTCTTCAAAATCTTTTAGTTGGTGTGCATCAGTTTTACAGTTGAACAAAAGACGAGGCTACACTATATTGCACGAAGGAAGGTCTACGTGCATTTCTGCAATTCTGTGGTCAATTTGAATATAAGAATATAATATAATTAAACATAATATAAGGATATATAAATACAATATGTATCATAAATACTTATATACATACTTATATACATAATATTATAAATATTATGTATATTATAAATTTATGTATATTATAAATATTGAATATATTCTAAATAAAGAAATATTTTTAAAATTGTTTTATTTATATTTTAACTGAAAAATCTTAACCTAAGCTAAAAGCAGGATTTAGCACTGATCAAGAATTGTGTGTCTGCATGATGCCGGCATTCTAAAGTGCATTCTGCTTACACAAAGCTCGCATAGAGTGTTGAGCATAACGTGTCGTCGCGATGCTTGCCAGATGGACCTGTATCTGGCAGTCACAGAGACAGCACGCCATGGAAAGCATGCTTGCATAATGCCGGCACGTTGCCATCATTTTGTTTGCTGAGTACTTAACACATTGCGGACGGGTCACGAGATATCTCGTTTTTAGAAAACTAAACGTTGCGGACGGGTCACGAGATATCTCGTTTTCAGGTTTTTTTTATTTAGTCGGCAACTGAGCAAGGAGCTGCAAATGTTTCTGTTATGTTACGATGGTAACGAAGTCTCTCGCATTCCGAAACAAAAGCGAAACAACTGAATCATTCCTAAAATGTAAGAAAAAACAGTCATTATAGCCATTGCCGGCTGATCTGTGCGGATCGTCGTACGTATCGTATCTTATAAAGTGTTTTATTGATCTACATTTTAGAATTTCAAACTTCGTGTTTTAAATTTGGAAGGTAACAGTTTTTTGAGTATTATCTATATTTTCAATCTATCTGTTACTGATAATTGATAACAAAAATTTATTTTATGAATTAGCCCTCTATAAAAGCAGCGAAATGACGCATAGATGTAAAATGTACAAAATCTTAATAATATACAGATATATGAACTATATGTATACTATTATTTAAAAATACTAAATGCAAATTAAGTAATCTGCGTATCCGCTTTCTGTTACATGCCAAGCATGTTTTTGGAGCGTTCGAAAATCTGCGGTCTTTGAGGGCGTGTTGAACGCGCAGCGCCCCGTCCTCAATGTGTTAATATTTAACATTGACAAATAACATGTGTATATGTATATATGTGTTTAATAGATGGATCTATTAATGTCTCCGGTAAATGGAAGGAACGTATATTGTAAAAATCTCGTTTAAAAAAATATATGTATATTTAATATTAATATTTATATGTAGCCACTAAATAAATATAATTCTATTATATTAATATTTTATTCTATTATATCTATATAGATCTATATATATAATAGAATAAAAAAAATATATGTATATATTTATGCTCAACACTCTATGCGAGCTTTGTGTAAGCAGAATGCGTTTCAGAATGTTGGCATCATGCAAACACACAAGTCTTGATCAGTACTAAATCCTGCTTTTAGATTAGGTTAAGATTTTTTAGTTAAAATGTAAATAAAACAATTTTTAAAATATTTCTTTATTTAGAATATATTCAATATTTATAATATACATAAATTTATAATATACATAATATTTATAATATATATAAAGTATTTTTATGATACATATTGTATTTATATATCCTTATATTATGTTTAATTATATTATATTCTTATATTCAAATTGCTGAGCACAGAATTGCAGAAATGCACGTAGACCTTCCTTTGTACAATATAGTGTAGCCTCGTCTTTTGTTCGACTGTAAAACTGAAGCACACCAACTAAAAGATTTTGAAGAAATTATATGTAGAAATATCACAACTTTATTGAAAATAGAAATTTGCACATATTCATATATGTACTTACACATTTATGTTAAAATGTGTATATAAACCAAATATATAAAATTATAAATGTGTGTCTGTGTACTTACTTTATATAAATAAATGATGATGGGTGTAATCAGCTTCAAATTTTTTAAAATGAAATAATGTTTAGACATTAACAATGGCTGTTTGAAGCAAAACACTGATGATGATGTGTATGTAAAAGTGTGTTACTTTATTTGAGAAAACTAATATATAACGTTTTCAGTCTTTGAATTAGGCTTTTTTTAATGTAAGTAAATAAATAGTAGTGTTTGTTACTTTGTAACTTGCTGAGCGCAATTATGTGTAGTTGCGTAGAGTTTGTTTCAAGAACTCTATAACTATGTTCACACGTATGAGATAAACACCACTATTTGTTTACTTATATTGAAAAAGGCCTAATTCGAAGGCCGAAAACGTTATATATTAGTTTTCTCAAATAAAGTAACACACTTTTACATACACATCATCATTAGTATTTTGCTTCAAACAGCCATTGTTAATGTCTAAACATTATGTAATGTTACTTTATAAATCCAATAGAATATATATCTTTCTTCTTTTTTGCTATTTTGGCTCTTGCCCCAATGAGAGAGGAGCATATGCCAGTCTTTGTTTAATATAGTAAATTTTGTTTCAGACTGAGCTGTGTGTGTTATGTATAGAAACTAGTTAGGAGCAGGTGGTATGAAAGGAGGAATTAATAGGGTAGGGATTTGAAAGAGGGGGAACAGGTGCGATTGAGGGGGGATGTTATGCTCATATAGGAGGATTACACGTTAACGTTGGTAGAATTGACAAAAGAGAGCAGAGCAAACATGGAACTAATATTTGAAGAGAAAGCCACCTCCATTACATTGTATGGAGGGCTTAAGCCATTATGAAACAGATCCATGAGCAGTTTATCTGACGCAGTCTTATTCTTAGGGCAATAGAGGAATACATGGTTAATGTCTTGCGACTGATGGCCGCAAGAACACGCAGCACTGTCCACTATACCCTTATCGCTTAAATGTTCGTTCACCGCTGTATGGTGTGAACGAATTCTTGATATAAGAGTTACAAGTTGGCGCGGTAAGAATTTTTTCTTGTTGGCTCTAGAGAACCACGGTTTATTTAGCAGTTCTTGAATGAATTCAAAGTATCTACGTCCCTTACTTTGGGCTTCACGGAGTAAATATTCTCTAGATTGTTGTAGTGTTTGTGATTTGATAATGGGGAACAGAGATGAAACGTCCTGTTTTTCAACTGGTTCAGGTAGAGATAAGGAAAGTTTGGCGTTTGTATCCGCGCGATCGTTTCCGCCATAATGACCAGAGATCCAAACAAATCTAACCGCTACATTTTTCTTTCTCATTTCCAAATCGAGTTTTTTTTATTAAGTATAGTGTCAGGTTGCAGACCCTTAGGGTCCGTGGCCTCCAGGCATCGCATAACACTGAGGGAGTCAGAAGCGATAACCGCAGACTGGAATCCAAACTCATCGACATATTGCAGGGCGCACTGGACCGCTCTTGCCTCTGCTTCGAAGATTGTAGCCCCGGAGTGTATACGTTCGTAATAAGGTCAGGGACTTCAGAGACCACCGCGAAGCCCACCGCAGTCGGGGGGTTTTTAGATGATTTCCTAGCTAACGACCCATCTGTAAAGAAAACGCGTGTAATACCTAATTCAGACAAGTATTCTTCGAACAAGATTTGAGGGGACTCAGCACTACGTATGCTGTGCTCAATCTCGGTGTCCACGCTGCACTTATGATACTGAATACCGAACGGAAAGGATAGGTGTCCCGGTAGGGAATACTTTTTAACATTAGCAACCAGGTGGGAAAGTTCGTTACTAACCTCGAAGAGGCCAAACCGGTTGTCATCGCACGTGGGGACCCAGTCCGCAAGGGTCTTGTCTAAGATAAGACCCACCGGGTGGTTTGTTCTCGCACTGACCCTAGAAACATACTTGCTGACTAGATATTTATGCCTGTACAAGAGAGGTTGCTCACAAGCTATGTCTAGGAGAACGTTGGTCGGGGTGGAGCGCATAAGGCCGCAGGCCACCTGTACACATGCAAACTGTAACCTGTTTATTACTTGCATTTCCCGTGATCTCAGAGTGATACATGACCTGGCACCCCCACTCCAACACCGATCTAACTAAGCCCTTATAGGCAGTGATCAGTATGGAAGGGTGAGACCCCCACTTTATCCCTACGATAGCTTTGAGGATATTGATTCGCGGAAGGACCTTTCGACGTGTTTCCATAACGTGTTTCTTCCACTTTAATGAATAGTCTATGTGAACTCCTAAGAACTTCACTGACCACTCGAGTTTGACAGGAGACAGGTTTATCTGTAACCGTATATTATGTTTCTTGATTAGCCACTTTGTATTACGTAAAAAGTTGAGAGCATAAAAGCTAGCTACTGACTTACTAGGAGAGACTTTTAAGTCAAGAGAAGCGAGGTGTCTAAATATCCTGTCTATATATATATATATATATATATATATAACGCTACGTTTAGTCTGCTAGTAACCTCGACTACGGATTGGTCAGAACAATACACCACAACATCATCAGCGTATACCAAGGCATTAACAGTGGGAGGCAGGCAGTGTTCGATGCCCGACACATATATATTAAACAATACCGGACTCAAAACCGAGCCCTGCGGGAGGCCACTAGAGGTAGATCTCTTTTGCATGAGAACACCCGAAACGTAGGCCTCCAGCTCCCGATATTTTACTACCGATGATATAAAGGCCACCATTCGTGGGGTTATTCCCAGTTTGGGTAGCATAGCTAGAAGTTTGTTTGGATTGACGTTGTCAAAGGCACCTTCGACATCCAGAAAAACTGAACCTGTGATTTTACGTGAATTATTAGCTAGTTTGACGCGAGACACAAGCATTGAGATACTATCCGTGCACGACAGACCACGTCTAAACCCAAATTGGTGAGGGGAGAGTATATCGTTGTTTTCGACCCACCACTCTAGTCTTTTACACATTATTTTTTCTAGGATTTTTTGGAGGTTATTAGCTAGAGAGATAGGTCTATACGAGCCGCTACGACCCGGTTTGAAAACGAAAACTACAAAATATTGTTTCCACTGGTCTGGGTATTTTTTATTAGAATACATCCAATTCAGGATTTTCAGGATATACTGATGTAACTCGAGAGGGAGTTACGTTATGATGAAGTTGGTTATCAAGTTAGGGCCGGGAGCGGACTTAGTTTTTAAA